GATGTACTGTACGCACCGCATCCGTTTCGAGTTTCGCGACCGGTAGCCGCGGGATTACACGTCATAAAGGTAGCACCAAGTACATAACGAAGTTACAACGCGCTACGAAACTCGAAATTAGTTTCGGGAACGTGCAGCTCGACGTCGCTCAAATTGACAGAGGATGTCCGATGGCGCGTGTAACAATTCCACGGATATACATCTCGAAATTTTCCCCGTAACCCGACATTGAACAGTCATGGAAATAAAAATTTTTTTCTATCCTATTCTTCTTCAGTTTTACAACTTTTTTTCGTAATATTTATCATTTACGGCGATCAAAATAAAATCCACTGATTTACAGGCTAACAACGAACAGTAGAATATCGTTATTCACTTTGATACTTACTGCAAATATATCTAAAAGATCGCAATTGCAATTTGCGCCACGATTACCTACTGCCTGCGATAAATCGAAGTAAACGAAGCAACGGGGGATCGAATAAACGTTATCTCGTTAAATCGAGGCAATCGCTAAGCCGTTTTGGTCGTATCTGGCAATAACAGTTGTAACTATGGCTGTACTTGTAATTTAATTTTGTCAAAAGATACGGACGATCTTTAATCACATCCAAACGATTCGTCGGCAAAGGACACTCTCAAATCGTTTTTTTTTTCCGTTATTTTTATACATTTCCTTGATTCTGTAGAAAGGGCTTAATTAAAAAGCTTTGAGAATTACAATTGAAGAGATTCTGAATAAGATTCCAAAAAATTGCATATGCCTAAGCAAAATGTATTTAAACTGCAAGGTTTTTAATTTCAATAATTTATTTTTAGTAAATCAATTTTTGATATAAAAAGCACAATGACCCTCTTCTATAAACTATATTTTTGTTAGAATAAAATCGACACGTCTCTTCGCGTGTTCATGTGGAATTTCGCGCTCAAGTCGCGTTTGCTTTGATCAATTCGCTCGAGCGGCGCTCGAGAGATTTCCGGTCGAGTTTAAATTCGCGAGTGTCCGTATTCGCTATGAGGAGACGGCTCGAGTGGCCCCCCCGGATGCACACCAAGTGCACTTCACTCATCGGCAGCCATTTGCACCCCAAGCCACGCCAAAAAACTTTCCAGGATGGCAAATTCCTGGATAGCGAATGAGAGAGAGAGAGAGAGAGAGAGAGAGAGAGAGAGAATTTTAAACATTCTTCGAGATCACGATTGGGCAACATTTGAGTCGATTTTCTTCCCCACAAAAATTCAAAAAATTATCACGTATTCTGCTCCGAATATATCCGATACCTTAAAATATAGAAAACCTTAAAATATAGAAAACCGTATGACATGACAAGAATAAAAACATGCTCAGCTGCATTTACAAAACATATATCTCTTATATAATACGTAGAATCTTCAATTCACACGCAAAATCAAACGGATGTAGTTTTTGCTCTACTATCTTTATAGTATTTACATTTTACGTGTTAGGAAATCTATTTAAAAAAGAGAAATTATATCTTCACTTAGAAATCTGAAAAAATTCTAAAAAATACTGTAATTTATATAGAAAATGGTATAAAGATAAAAGAAATTGTTGAATCGCAATAATATCCATTTGTTCGAAAACGAAATTGGAATTTCAATCAATTTACTGTAAAACAAATAAATATTTTAAGATATTTCTTTTTACATATAATTTTTCAATGTATTATTGATTAATTATTTATTAGCGATCGTTAAAAATTATAATTTTCCTTATAAAAAGAAATGAAAAAATATTAATGAAAATTTTTAAATGAAAGCTTTTTTACAACCACTAACAAATAATTGAGCAATAATAAACATTGACAAATTATGTGTAATGTATATGTTAGAGGAAATATGTGTATATGTGTATATGTATATGTTAGAGGAAATATCTAAAAAAAATCTAATTATTTTGTTATAATTGAGCTGAAATTTTAATTTTATTTTGGAAAAAATATTCATTTACGAGTGAATCACATTTCAATTCCAATTTCCTTTATCGTACCTTTATTCTACATATTTTAGAGTATTTATGAAAATTTTTTCAGATTTTAAAAGAGTAATTTCTCATTTACGTGCTTAAAGCTAAAAAAATGGATATCTTTTATACTATTAAATTTTTCTCACTAAAATTAATGTTTTTATCTGAAAGTACGAGAAAAGTCCTAAAAATTTATGTGTATAAAAATTTTGTACATTTTATATTTCAGCTACAAATGTAAAAAAAATTCTTAAAACAACTATCGCTAATAAATGTAAGGCATATAATGCTTATTTTTTTTATCTTTAATCTTATACAATATATGCACTAACATGTTTTCATATCACTTAAGATTTTAAAAAATCTTAAGCAGTTCACTTTTAAGTGGATCCCTGACACGTGGAATGCGCCACATATGTATTATATTAGAATAGGTCAGAGGAAGAGAGTATCAAAAATACAATTAAAGAAAAAACTAAAGTTAATAGAAAATCTCTTTGTTTTGAACATTCACTTTGAATTTTCTTGATGCTAACTTGAACTTTAAATATTGTCAATTTTTATTTAAAAAAAAAAAAAAAAAACAAATTTTAATATCAAACATAATTTTATAAAAGAAGCGAATTTATTGACAATAAGAAATACGATAATACTGACAAAACATTTTAAACAATTTTCGGTAGATAAAGCGCTGGGAAACTCTCAGCTGAATTATATGTAGCTAGTTGAGTTGGAAACGACGACATGTCCAGAGATCGCGGTATGACATATTATAATAGTTGAACGGAACCAGTTAAACGTTAATCTCCCGGCTAATTTCGCCGCGTGCGGGCGGCAACTTCGTCACGTAGCATCCGTCACTTGATAGTCCCGAGGGGTAGGATAGTATAATCTTGACGCCATTGTACCAAAAGCTGATAGAACATGAGCCGCGAACAGGATCTATTCGGCTTATATCGGCTGGTAACACGCCAGCCGCGACACTGACAGCGCGTATGTGAATGCGTTCGCATAGTTCCAGATGCATGGCGAATAATCTCCGATTCGGAAGCCGGTCAACCGGACAAACTCGGAACAGATTCTGGTAATCGACGCATTGTATGACGGACGCGACGCAAATGGAAGAAATGGATTTTAGCAAACAATTTTCGCGAATCAATTTGACACATGAGTAAGTTATCAAATGACATCGCAGCTATACCATTGGCATCACTTCCAATGCCAGAAAAAGCTGGCTGTTACAAAAGTTAGTTTGGCTGAATCAGATTTTTTGAAATTTTTCGAGAACGTGGGATGACACCGTGAAGGCAGAGAAAGAGAAATATTGGCTGCAAGAAGAATCGAGAGGAATAAATCGCCGACGCTGTAGTGACGCTTTATCCCGCGCAACAATGGCGCGAGAAATCTTCGAAGAGCGACGCATCAGTTCCAATAAATAATGACCGAGGTATCCTCCTTCTTCCGTGAGAAAGAACTTTTACGCGTGCCGGTATTTCGAGAAACGATTTCAAGCTTTTCGATTCGACGACACCGTTTCAATTAAATTCAATTCAATTAAATCAGTTTTGACGTTTTTCGCATCGCTTTTCTGCAAAGTTTCAGGAACGAAAGATCAAAGAGAAAAAGATGTGTTTTTGCGTTGCTTGCAACGATTAAACGTCATAAAAAGCAATTCAGATGGGCTTTGTAAGAATTGCTATTTATAATGTTAAGCATAACATGATTAAAACGAAAATAAATAAAATTATAATAGATTAAATTTACATTTAATGATGTTTTTAAGTGAGATCGTGATTTTATCTTTTACTACAGCAAACAAACTGACAAGGTCGATAAGACCAAAATAGATAAAACTTACATATTCTCCTCTCAGATATACAAGACGTGACACCCGTTAATAGTAGATTTCTAAGATAATTTCAAGGCAAAAATCTTAATACCAAAATGGCTACAGTAGTTTTTAAATGAGAAGGGTTTAAAATTAGCCAATTAAGCTGTCTAAAATTCATGCGCAATTATAACATATTGTATAGTAGTGAAAGTTTAGAAGAATAGAAGAGAATAAAATTGATGCTTGAAAACATCTGCGCAAATTTTGGATAGTTCAATTGGCTAACTTTAAAAATCTTTCTCATTTAAAAACTATTATATTG